GACAGGAGTGACACATTGAAAAGGCATGATATCACATTTGTCGCCCATAAGAACATCACAAGCTCCATGCTGAAGTGCAATGCTGTCTGTCAGAAGATCATGCCCTTATGCCTACAAGGAAGAGCCATCAACATGACCATTCTTCAAATCTAGGTATCAACACTAATGGAAAAAATGGAAGATTTTCCCTAACTTCTACGGTCTACACTTGATCAAACACCCAGACGCATGGGTAACTACTGGTATTTGAATTGAAACCAAGGGAGGATCCAAAAACCAGACTCACTGCCATCGAGTCAATTCTGATCCACAGCGATCCGAGGGGACAGAGTAGGATTGCCTCCGTAGGTTTCTGAGATTGTCGCTCTTTAAGGGAACAGAAAGCCTTGCCCTTTGCTGGAGGAGTGGCTAGTGGTTTCCAACTGCTGACCTTGAGGTTCGCAGCCCAATACAAACCCACTTTGCCACGAGGGCTCCTTCAAAGAAGGATTGGTAGTTGGAAAATATGACCTTGGGAATAAAAATTTTGCAGATATGGCATGACGTAACTTTGTAAGACCAAGGATTCATTTAGTACAGATACCTTCTTTCAATATTCTTTTACTATCATGTGGAATTTGCTGGATGGAATGAATAGGAATCAATTCAACTACAATGGTGGGAAAAGATGACAGAGAAGCTCAATATCATCAGTCAGAACAAGGCCAGTGGTCAACTGAGGAAGAGACCATAACTCACATGCAGGTCCATGTAGAAGCTGAGAAAAAGTAACATATGTTCACGAGAACAAAACCATGACCTCAACAAATCCCACGAGATTGAGACCATCTCAAGAATAGATTCAATGTATTTAGCACTCGGGGACGAAGGTCAGACAAGCTGTCAGATGACCTCAAGCACATCCTACATGAAGAACCAAAAAGTCACTAAAAAGACAAGAAAGTGAAGGCCAAACTGGATGTCGCAATCTTGCTCCAAAACGTGGAGCAGCTAAAGCAAACGGAAGAAACAAGGGAGCAACCAAACTGAGCCAGAGGTTTGCAAGGGCGGCTCAAGAAGACAAGGTATCAACGTGAGGGGCACAAAGACCCAGAGAGAGAAACCCCAAAGAGAAGCGCGTGCCCAGAATTTCTGAAACGGAAAGAACTGAAGAAGAAAACCAAGCCTCTGGTTGCATAAATAGCAAAATATTAAACAACCCAAAAAGCAGCCAAAGAAGATGGAAGTCACTGCTCTATAACTTGTTGACATCCAACCGTGCCAGGAGGTAGCATATGATCAAGAACAACTGGTATTGAAGGAAGAAGTCCAGGCTGCTACACTGAAGGCATTAATATGATCATTATTCAAATCTATGTATCAACCACTAATGGCAGAAATGAAAAAATTAAAACCAAGGCTCCAGGAATTGACAGAATAACAATTGAAACATTACACTAAGTGATACAGCACTAAAAGTGCTCACTCATCTATGCCAAGAAATTTGGAAGACAGTTATTGACCAGCTGACTGAAAAAAAATCCATATTTATGCATATTACAAAGAAAGGTGATCTAACAGAAAGGAGAAATTATCTAATGGTATCATTAATATTACATATAAGTATTGTTGAAGATAATTCAGAGTTGAAACAATACATCGATAGGCAACTGTCAGAAATTCATGCAAGATTCAGAAGAGAAAATGAAACAAGCAACATTATTGATGATGTCAAATGAATCCTGGCTGCAAGCAGAAAATCCAGAAAGAGGTTTATCCGTGTTGACTGTGCAGATCGCTACATATCATAGATAATATTGTGAAGAATGGAATTCCAGAGCACTTAATTGTGCTCATGCAGAAGCTGTGCATAGACCAACAGGCAGTCATTTGAACACAACAAGGAGAGGCAGCCGGTTTAAAGTCAGGAAAGGTATGCATACGGGTTGTATCCATTCACTACTCTTATGCAGTCTGTGTGCTGAGCAAATAATCTGAAAAGCTAGCTTATAGGGACAGGGACATGGCAGCAGGATTAGAGAAATATTTGTTAACAACCTGTGACACGCAAATGACACAACCTTGTTTGCTGTAAACAACGAGGACGTGAAGCAATTACTGATGAAATCAAAGACGCTAACTTTCAGGGTAGATACTACCTCAGTAGAGAGAAAACGGAAATCTTCACTACTGGACCAGTCCACGGCTTGACGATAAATGCAGAAACACTGGCGTTGCTAAGGATTTCATTCTACTTGGATCCCCAGTCAGCACTCAAGGAAGCAGGAGTCAAGAAACCAAAAAATGTATTGCCTGGGCCAAATAGCTGCAAAAGAACTATCCAAAGGTGTTCAAAAGCCAAAGTGTCACTTTGAAGACGAAGGTGTGCCTGTCCTAAAACAATTGTCCCTTCGAATGTCTTTTATGCCTACAGGAGCTGGACAATGAATAAGGAAGTGCAAAGAGCGGATGGCTTTGAAGGATGGTGTTGGCCGACAGTCTTGAATCTATTGTGGACTGTCAGGTCAGTGACCAAATCTACCTTGGGAGAAAGAGCCAGAATGTTCCCTAGACTCGAGGGTGGCAAGCCTTCATTTCCCACACGTTGGACACAGTATCAGGAGGCTCCAGCCCCTGGAGAAGGCCGTCATGCAGGTGACAAAGAGGAAGGCGTTCACACAGAGATGGCCTACAGCATACAATGCCTTGGAGGATGGCCCAGAAGTAGGCTGTGTCCCTTCCGTCGCACAGAGGGAGCTGTGGCTCAGAACCAACCGGACACAGACTCAATTTCTTAAAGAGCATGTTCAAGAAGAGATCTAAACTGGAATACGCCCCCCTGCCCAACTGGGTTATTTAGGCAAGTGAATTAAACTCGGTGAGCCTCGTTGGCTCACGGGGACAAAAGGGCCTCTCTCGCAGGACTGCTCTGAGGCTGAACCATAAGTGTACGACTGTGCGGGAGGCTTAGAGAAGGCTGTCTCAGGAAATAAAGTCATGTAATAAATGTTACCTCCCTTACCTAGCTGTATTTGGTTCCAAATGAATTGTGAGATGTTTCAAATGTCAGATTCTTTTCTGTGCATTGCTATGATTGTGTATTTGTTCAGAACCACGAGTTCACAAGCATGTATCCAGCCATCCTGATGAGTCGGGAAATAACACAGATACACTTTGACAGCAATATCAAGAGTTCAAATACGTTGTTAAACAATGGCTTCTGTTTATAAGCTTGATTCGCTGACTTAGATAATTGCTTAATAAATGTTAAAACTTGCGTGAATAGAATCCCAAGTACAGTCACGTGCTCAATGTGTCGGCTCTTATGCACTGTAAGCTGAAATAATTGCTTCAAAACTCAAGTCTTTGCATTTTACCTTCCTCTGAACACCCTACAGTGGTTCCCAATGTTCTAATAAGGTACAAAATCCTTTCGTGTTCGACAAGCGCTGCTTGTTTGGGTCCTGTTTCTCTCCTAAGCCTCATTCCTGGTTCCTCCTCCCCATTTTCCTGTTTTCCAGTATTCCTGGCTTTCTCCTGGGAACCCAGACATGCTCTGTTCTTTCCAGACCCACCACAGGCCTGAGCACATACCGCCTCATTACCCTAATTCTTCCCCACTTAACAACACCACCACTGGCAGAGCCATGCCTCCCACACATGAGGAAGCCGGGTCTTCTTGTGATATATTCTTACTCCAGCTACACTGTTCATACAGTGTCTTTCTGACAACCATAGTAGCTAGATAATTGTGTGGCTCATCCTATCTATCGGGCCACTATCAGTCTGGAACCAACTCCATAGCAATGGGTTTGGTGTGAGGCGGACTGTATTACTGGTTTAATGTCTTCTTCCCTGTGGAATCAGAAATATCAATGCAGTAGAACTTACGTCTTGTGATACCTCCATGGCCTAACAAAGTAGGTACCCAACAAATATTTACTGAATGAATAAACAAAAGTGAGTAAATTCCAATCACTGGCACTGTCTCCAGCAGTCTGCTCAGTACACAAATTAAGGAGGGAAACACACGACTGTAGTATTAAGGGGAAATGGTTTGGCACATAATAAATATTCGGGAGATTTCCTTGCTTGTTATATGGCATTATCCATGCTTATAATTATTAATTAAGAAACGCTATTGAGCTTTGAACATTTAGAATAGTCCCAAGGGTAAAATTTTCACTGCAGGAATTTTGCCGAGTTGAACATTTGATAGATGTGGCAATCTGCCTCCTAAAATTCACAGCCGTGGACACCCTGTGGGCAGCGCCACTCTGTCCTAGAGGGTGGCTGGGAGGCCCAGTGACTCGGGAGCAGTGGGTTGTGTGCTTGTTTCCTGCTGAACCGCACACATATCTAGATCTGGGAAGAACTCAACAAGGCCAGACCAGGGGCTCACCGGCTAACGAACTGGGAGGAAAGAAAGCCCGTCTTCAAGGGAACACAGAAGTAAACAACAGCACTGCACACCGCGCAGGTGTCAGAATGCCAGGAAAGACGCTGCACTGCTGGAGATGTTTGTTTTACACTTTCGAAGCCGAGAAGCGGCGAGTTCAAAATCCACAGTGCAAGGTCGAGTTGGAAATATTGAAGAACCAGCAGACTTAAGTCATCAAAGACTTTTATAAGAATAAAAAGGCCACCATATACATTAGCCAATGTCCTCGAGTTCAGTACAGCTCTGGGCTCTGACCGCTCCAGGACCACAGTCCATGCCTGCATCCCCCGCATGGCAGGCTGCATCACGGCGCAATTGGACTGACGACTCTAAACGTGTTCTTGTATCATTTAAAATAAGCCTGAAGGTAACTGATCCTAGTAGGTGCCCTTCACGAAAACTCGGCTTTATTACGCTAATGCGCACCGTACAAAGCCTGAAGAACTTGAGGAGGCTTGGTAGCTTCCTCTGCAGGCTTCTTGCTTGCACAAACGGTGTGTGTTTCTAATGGTATAGATTGTAGTTCCTTTAGCAGGATTATGTTACTTTTGCTCATATAAAAACAACTCTTGGGTTTAATATACTGCTAATTTTTATTATTGCTCTGGTTTTATCTCCAGTGGCTCAGAATATAGACTTTGGACTAGACTGCCAAGGCGTGGCGAGGCCTCTCTAGTTCCTGTGTCATGTTAGACAAATTAATGAATCAAACCCTGCGTGCCTCTTTTCCCTCCTATGAAAGCTAGGAACAATGCGTGCCCA